TTTTTCTACATATATTTGGTGGTTTGAATAAAACAAACAAAATTCCTTGTGAGATGTTAAGAGGCAGTAGGAACAAGAGCACATTTGGAATTTCACGAGCATATGGTAGATGTTCTTATAAAAAGACTGCTATAGGGCCATGACCAGCTACAAAATGCCCGTTTACCAGGAGAAAAACTAGCCTTTCAAGATGATACCAAAATAACAACACATGTGCAATAATATAATCACATAAATGCCGCAATTATATACCTGTATCAGGATATTTTGAGCAAGTATGTAAGCCGTGCATTAGTGTGATTATGTCATCACACATTTGCCCTCTTTTTTCTACCGTAAACCACCTGTATAGTGGGATCTTTGAGTGATTCAGGGCAAATAATGATGCTAGAAGCTAGTGCTTCATTTCACAAAATGAATGGTATATTTTTTTTTAAATTAAAGTAACATTTTTTAAAAGTCAGAATAGGAATTCTGGTGAGCAACAAGAGAATTATCTAGGACACATTGCTGTCTATAGGTACCACATTTTGTGTACTTGGCAGAAATAGATGCAAGACATTGGAAGCTCCATGAACTGTCCTGGTGGTTTGAATATGTCCATGCACAGTGTTTTAAGAAACTGGATAGCAGATTCTCCATCTGCCCTAGGTTCATATGCAAATAAAATACTGAAGCTTATCATAGGAGTCAGAAAGCAGGAGGTATAGTGCAGAGATTCTCCATAGTAGAAAAACGTCAGTAATACTGAAAATTTCTAAGGAAAAAAGCCCAGATCTTCTTTGCTAGGAAATCTGATAAAGGAGGCATGAAGAAACATCTGGTTAGAAATGGACAGCTTTGGCTGTCAAATTGGCCTATGGATGGATTATTCTACTGGTAGACTAAAAGCCATATCTGGTTATTTCTTCTAGATTAAAAAGTTGTTCAAGTAAAATTACATGAAACAGAGAAGAACGGAGACAGAAGTGAAGAAGGTATTATGCAAAACAATTAATGACAAAGATACTTTCATAGAGTTTACTATAGAGACACTTATTTCATTTGCTTTCTTTGGAGCACAAGAATAAAAAAACTGGGCCAAAGTAATCATCTATCTATTCTGACTCCAGTGTTCTTGTTCCAAGCTGGCTATGCTGCTGGCATAAGTTTTAAGAAATGCTCCTTTAAAGAAAGCATCCAAAATTCATTTTACTGCCTCCAGTTTTGTGTTTGAGATCCTTAAAGAGCAAATGTTACTTTTATAAGACATGACTTCTAGCTGCAGCCATTTTGAATGTTCTTCAACACATCATGCTTAGTCACATACTTGTCAGTTCTAATATCTTCCATCAGATGATATTACAGTCAAGAGATCATCACAGAGAAGACACCAGATATGCTAAGAAATGGTGTAATTCAATGGATTTTACCTGTAGCCTGGGGTGTATGTGCATAAATTGGTATAATTTTTTACATTACATCGATATAGTAATTTTACATTTACTGTCAGAAATAATCAGAATTCTGGACACTGGACATTTATTGAAAAACTGTATCAGAGACAAAGCTGACACACACATCGAAGAAATATCCAAGCTGCATCCCCCATTACCAGTATCTCCAAATGTGATTCTTCATAAAGTTTGAAGCCTAAGGTTTCAAAACAGTATAAGATTTTTGACTGCTCAAATATCCACTGCTCATAATATAAGACCCATTTGCCATTTTCAGTATGATCCCTTCATTTATTTAAAATCTTTAGTGGATTCCAAAAGTCAGAATTTACTGAAGTGTAGAAAAATTACATCAAAGCCCAGACATTTAAATAACGTTCTCCCTAACTGGTGTTTTGACTCTTGCAAGAAACAAGAATCTATATCAATGACCCTATTCACATCCAGAATGCTTGAAAAAGCCTCTCCAGTATTTTTTCCTTATTATACATTCTCCAACAGTCTTTCCTGGCAATCTCCATAAGTACATCTTCACCCTTAAAATCTTTCCTACATCTTCATATGTACCCCCCATGTCATCAAATATATATGACTGCTGTCCTCATGTACATACACATTATGCAGACTTAATAATGTATAGGCTTATTGACATTTATTCAAGTTAAGTCTACTATATTCAGAATCCAGTCCACTATCCACAAGGCCACTAGAGTATGCCCTTCAGTAGCATGACTGCTACTACCTTTTGTATCAGAGCAGAAGCACACAAATACAGTGCCAATACGGGGATGTAATGAAATACAAATTGATGGCTTTTTTGTACGAACATAAATCTGCAGGTCTTACATATACACAGATAGAATATATGTATATGTAAGACCTGAGTCTTTATGTTGCATCCGAACATTGTTCTGTCTGGCTCAGTACTGTCTATACCCTGCCCTCCCCAACTGGTGTACTCCAAATGTGCTGGATATCAACTCCCAGAATCTTCAACCAACAAAGCCAAAGTTTATGCTGGCTATGGTTTTAGGGAATGGAATACAATGCTGATGGAGGGCACCAGATTGGAGAACTTTATCCTAGAATTTTTTTATTCTCAAGGACAGTGTCTTAAAAGCCATATAAAGTCTAAGGTTTCTTATCAAACAGTGTATGATAATTAGTTGAAAATGGTAAATGCCTTAGTGCCAAATTTTTGTGAATGGCCACTATCTGAAAGCGTTTGTCACTATTTTCATATTCTGCATATCAGTTCTGTCTGACCTCACTATTTATTGTTAGAATAAACATTACCTAGAAGAGTAGAGTGATTATTATTCAGTGAGGGCACACCTTCACTGAAAATATGTCAAGGCTGTCAATTACAGAAGTCAACCTTGCTACAGTCCAAGGTTTAAAAGAAAAAAGAAAAAAAGTCTCATATAATTTTATTGGTGTGTCCCAAGGGTTTTTGCTTCTTCTAAAATAACCCATAAAATATATTTAAATCTCTTTGGTAAATGGTGTATAGTACTATATGAAAAGGATCATTACCAGAGTCAAGAAAAGTAACAATAGACATTTTTCTTATCCATGTCGTATTTTCATGGCCAAGTAAGAACAGTAGCGGAAAAATGAACTTATCACTTTAATTGTATCGTTATTTATTCCACAGGCAAGCTACTTGTGAATAATGCATATCAAAAATATATAAGTTTATTCAGTTGAGGAAATCTTGACTCTGAAGGCTCTGGTTTAATGAAATAGCCAGTTACTTTCAAAAACCTGATTTACCGCCAGCACCATTTCTCCCCCAAATTTCTACCTTTGTGAGCTGTTAACAAATTCAGATTTTGCACTTTTTGTTTCACATCAACAAACCTGTAGCATAAAGAAAGAACAGGCAATATCTTTTCCAAGAAATTAAGTGTAACTGTCTACCCCACTCCCCATGTTGATTTAATTTTCCTACAGATGCTCTCATCCCAACCAATGTTTTACTTAAAATAAGAAACTATAGAGATCCCAATGATTTTCAGTGCAGCCAGTAAGAAATATGTAATTACAAAACAGAAGTCAAACTGGGGAGAGGAAAGTAAGGTTTAAATTATACAGCTTTGGTTTTCTTTCCATATTACTGAAACCATTATTAACACCTGAGTTGATTTAATTTCCCAGACTATGGATTGAAGACCCTGTGTTTTCCTTTAATTGCTAAGATTATCAAATGGTAGACTTCCGCTGAATTTTCATGAACTTTTCAGAAGGTACTATATTTAAAAATGCTATTAATGTCTTAGGCATTAAGTGCAACTTTCTCTTTCCTTTCTATATTATAACATTAAAATAGCATATTTTTCTCCTAGAATTATAAATATTTTGTTCCCCTCTGTGGTAGATAGTGATTCAGTAACCAAGCATTTTATTTTAAAATCTGTGTGTGAATAAATAATTAGTATCATCATTTAGTTAGTGTGAATAAATAATTAGTAATAAAATACTAATCCTCTCTAATAATATGAAGGATTAGTAAATAATAAAACCAAAAGCAGTTTCACATATGACTACAGGCATTGGGGAGGGGTGGGTGGGTCAAAAAGATGGTAGGCTCTGCTCTTTTTTAATGTCCATCTTGGGTTTATTCATTCCTCCATACACCAATCCTAGATAATTGTCACTTTTGTTGAGCAACTAAGCTGTTTGATTCCTGGTTCAGCTACGGTAGAAGTGAATTTACTGTGAAAGTAGCTTCACTCTAAGAAAAGAGCAGTTGTGAGCTGGGTGATTTCCCATTGGTGAGAACTTTTAGCTGCTCCACTGCTTACTCTTTAGTTCTCTCCACTTCTGTAAGATGATGAAGGGCTAGATTTTCTTCTTCCACTAGACTTTTTAATTGGACAAAGACATTACCAGTCAGGTTTTCGTAAGAACCAAAAATTACAAAAGAAACAAGCCAAATATGAACTGAAGAAAAAAAGAAGGACAAAACATTTGTATATTCCCACTGGACAGCTGGAGGGAGTATTGGTGATATCAGTGATGTTTATGGGGGTTTCCAGGTCAGCTGTAGTGAGACTAATCCTAAATTGAAGGTTTTCACCAATGGGAACTTAGTGAGAGTTTGAATGTGTGAATGTGCCCTCAGAGTCTATTTTTCTTATCTCCCTTCCTCTCTCCATCTCTCTCTCTCTCTCTCTCACACACACACACACACATTTATCTTACATCACTTGTATGCTACCCACTTTGCTAGACTGGGCAACTCAGCAACAATGACACTTCAATAAAACCTGCAAAAAATATAGGGCCATGTTGTTACCTAATCACTAAAAGCATAAAAGGGAAAATAGTAGACCCTATCTACTCCTTCAACATATTCTCCAAAAGCCCAGTGAAAGAGGATGGTTTAATGACATTAAGGAGACTGAGAGTCGGCTATCAGTTCATGGGTTTCTGTGGCCTTTTGAACTGAGCTGCAAAAACAACACGAGCTGTGGATATTACGTAGCTTCTAGATTAAATAATGTTTACAATCACGGTAACTGGAACTAATTAAGCACTACTTAATGAAACAATACTCACCATTCTTCTTATAGAACATGATCTCTCCTTTGAATTCTATTTTTTCTTCCAGTGACTTTTCAATTTGGAGAATCATCTGTTCATTTGATTCAGCACCATATAAAAATTTACAGCTGCAACTCTTCTGCATGACTTCTGTTCGTGCAAACCCAGAAAGCTCACAGAAGCCATCGGAACAGTAAACTATAGGGAATCCCTTAGCCACCTGAGCATTGGCAAGAATGAAATTACTATCTGTAAAAAAACACAGAAGTATAATGTTGATAAGTGTGATCAGATTATTCCATGCCCAGCATAGTCCCCAGAGGATGTCTTCCAGATACTGTAGACTACAAATCCCAACAGCATTAGGCAGAATATTCCACGATCAGGGATGAGGAGAAGTCCAGATCAAAACATCTGAAAAGGGCCTGGCTGAAGAAAGATCAGTTTTATGCTACCTCAAACACTTGTTCGCAACCGAGTCATACAATAATTCCAAAGTATTTGTTAAAGAAATGGAGGTTTTGGTTGACCTTAGTGGACTTTTGGATGGGATCACAAACATATATGGAAAACAATACAAGATTCTTTTCACTTTATAGGATACAGTGAATTTCTAAAAAAAGAAAAAGAAAAAGACTCTTCATTAAATTAAAAATGAGAGGAAACAGAACAGTCACTGACAAATTCCCTGAGATATCTTAGTAGATGAAGAGACAATTCCATGTGTAGTAATGGGAATAGAGTAGATTATTACTACTGATCCAGTTAATAAGAAAAGGAGGAAAACTGTATTTAGGCAAGACTTCTTTCAGATGTCTCTGCTGAACCAATCACTTTTTTCTACATCCAACAAAACTATCACTACCATTGATTTTAATTTTTCTGAATATATATTTATACCACTGAATCTTACAACTCAGGTTTATACTAATAAGACATTAAAACCATAAAACACAATTAAAACCCTAATCAATAGTAACCATATAATAAAATAACTGAATAAACAATCGACAGATACAAATAAGCAATTGAACGTTCAAGCGGCACTAACTTCCAAAAGTCCTTTGGAAAAGCCTTTCTTAATAGGTTTATGAAAAGATGCCAGGGTGTTACCAAATGGACCACTTGGGGAAGGCGGTTCCATTAAATGGGAGCTGCCATTAAGAAAGACCATTTCAGACCCCCTACAGTTCTTACCTCCTGTTTCTGGGGGGCATCCAACATTCCCAGGTTGTCCTATTGAAGAAGGTGGCCCCACATGTAGGGGTGTAAAGATCAAAATCTGCATTTTGAATTGTACTTGGAAAGCTATCAGAAGCAGCAATTGCACCAACTAAGTAGTATTCGAAGGTAAATAAAGTGCATTGCAGTAATCTGTCCCAACGGTGTCAGTAATCTAATGTCACCTAGCACTTGGTGAGCTTTTACAAAACTAATTTGTGCAGGATGGATAACTGAAGGCAATATTGCTTGTCATCTACATGTCAACCTCTTTGCATCAATGTTTAAAATAAAATCAGACAAAAGCAGTAGGACCTTAACTAGTTCTCAGAATATATAATTATCACAGAAGGAGGCTGGAAAAATTATTTTAAAAGGTATCATTCTAAACTTCCAATAGTATTGGGGAAAAGAACAATGTATGCTCTATACCATCCAAATGGATACCCATCTGAACTGTTTCCATAGATTAAATACTATTTATTATTTCTTGGAAAAGCAAAGGTATACCCAAATAAAATAACTGACCATGCATAATCTTTGGAAGTTTTATATTATACAAAAATAGATTAATTTCTTCCTCAGTTACATTTGACTCAATATTACACAAACAAGAGTTTAGAGAAAAGTTAATACATTGAGTTAGAATCATTATATATTTTACTCTGTGTGTCTTTAATAATAGAGTTAATATTAAATTGTTGTACTCATGTCACTAATAGGCTAGTAATTTATCAGGTCTTTCATTTTTCCCTATAGTTTTGCTTTGCAAGATGAACAATCAGTTTCAAGTGCATAAATGAAACTACACCAAATAAAAATTCTGTATAATACAGGTGCAGGTTGTCAAAAGCTCTTTATTTTGTCCCCAAATTTTGCCAGTATCCAGGAATAAACAAAAGCAGCTGGAAAAGGAGAAAAAATTATCCCCTTTTTCCCATGAAAACTGATCTTCTTAACAGTGAAAGAAATGTTTAGAATATGTGAATTATTTATTTGATACTGATCATGTAAGCAGGTAAGATGTTTGCTGACTTTCAAAATATTTGCCATATCTGTTGGAAGTTTTTTTATAAGAGCTTTAATGCTGTGTCATTATTGTTTTATAGGATCAATCACAAGACTTTTCAGCTACCCTTTTTTCCTAAAATTGAAAGTATCAGATCTTTGATTCAAATCCTCAAATCTTTGGTTCAAATTATCCACTAAGGCTTTTATTTGCATCACTTCAGTCATTCTAAAAGTTGTATATGATCAGAAAAAGTTTCAGAAGAAGTAAATTCACCTAAAGTCAGCTGGTCTGCTGTCAGATCAGCAGGCTACTCTCCTTTAAACATGGTAGAAGACTTTTGTTTTCTCTGACTTCTTTATTTTGGACTCTTGGTAGCTCATATACAAGTCACTGCTGTTCAGTAATTTAGGCAGAAAAAAATTCTGTTTATCAGTTGTTAATAAAGCAGTCAAAGGATGAGAATACTCCTACTTTGCATGGGAGTGATCGACACCTACTTCACCACATGAACTGGAAGGTTACTACATACAACAGAGCTTAATTCCAACTGAGACTAAAGGATCAGGAGTGGCATGCTTAAATTTTTTTTCCCCATTCTAAAATTTCAAATTGCTTCTACTTATCTCTCTTTAAGCCTATGTTTTATGTTAAGATTTTCAGATACTATTATTATTTTGGAATCTTTCTATTTTTCTAAAATTCAGTAATTTAGGATGCACTCTTCTACTGATAGGATATATAAACTGGAAGGATACACATACACACATACATACATAAATTTACATTGTGCTATAGGTTCCTTACAGGTATATACATTTATTACCCCTTTAAAGCTGAACCTACTGTCCCACTTCTTGATTCTGAGAGTATGTGTACAAAAACTCTTTCTGGAATTATTCACAATGTTTAAACAGGTTTCATTTGCTGAACATGCATGCACTAGCTATCTAATTCAAGTCATTGTTTGACTCCACTAACCACTTCTTTTCTTTCCTAAATGGAAAATGACTATTATTATCAGTTAGATGGCTTTTTATGTGCTGATTCTGCTGTCAAAACAAAATCAGATTCCATACTAGTACAAGAATTAAAATCATATGGTTGCTGTATAAATGGATGACTGAGCCTCTGTATAAAAGCTAATGATCATGTATCTAAAAATCCTCTGTAACTTTCAAATTAATTTATTCTTGGGTTTCTTCTTATTCTCTCAGTTAATTCAGCATGAATTACATGAAGCAGAAAGGAACACTGAATAGATTAAAAGGGATTCTAGGTCATGCTAATTCATTGTAAAATGATTTCAACATCTTTTACAGCATGAAAATACAAAAAGAATGCAAGAATGGGATAAAAATTTGGCACCAGTTATATTAGTATAGATCTAGAATGTGTGTATAAATACTCTAGGATCAATGTATCTGACTAACCTCTAAAACTGCTAAATTTACAAGTTATTAAAATGTATTTTTTTGTAATTTTCTTGCCATCATTATATACCCTCAATTTGTAGGCACACATATTTGCATGCATGGAAACATATAAAAGAAACCATGTTCAGATCTGTGCCATGCACATGTTAGGGGAAATGTCTTTTAATATACAGAATAATTAATATCAGTAACTAAACTCAAAGCTTCAGAGTTTTTTTAGCATCACATATACATAGGCATATGTTATAAAAGAGAACATGGCTTAGTTAATGTATATATTTTCTAGCCTCAAAAGAAAGAAATTATCATTTTTTATTCTAGCACTCAGACCCATATATGATTTCCACTTCAAGGAAAGTTAAGAATTTTGCTAGATTCTTATAAATGAAATTAAGCAAATCAAATTCTCATCCTTCTGCACTAGCTGCATTCAATTGATTTGGCTGTTCTCACATGGAGAAAATCATGTTGCATCTCCTGCAATGTAACTAATGAAAAAAAAGGAGGTCGTCAAAAGAAAATATGGCAACACAAATTCAAAATCCCTAAATATAAAAAATCCCACATCTGATTTTTAATGATTATTCTCATTTATGAAGAAAATGTGGAAGCGTGGTAGGTTATTATACAAAATGAACCAAACCAAATAACATTTTCACTCAGCTTTACAGAGATTGTGATGGGCACAATGAAGGAACTGATGTTTTATTTTTCATTTTCTGAAATGAACTCTTGGTTATACAGTTGTGTTAACTTTCAACTTTTTTTTTCTTTTTGCCTTTGAGTCAACCTGACTCCTGGTAACTACATAAACAAGTCCATGCAGGTGGTTTGTCACAGCCTTCTTAGGGCTGAAAGAGTGTGACTGGCCCAAAGTCACTAAGTGGGCTGCCATGCCTAAGCCTGGACCAGAACTCAGATTTCCCCACTCCTGGTCCAGTGCCTTGACCACTAGACCAAACTGGCTCTCTTATCTTTGATTAGCAGATGTTATATGTGGTGTTGCAAACAAAAATCTGACATTTTCAAGATAAATCAATTTGTCAGAATCCTATCTTAACATTCAGTTATCTTGTAAGTTTCAGATTTGGGATATTTTTCCTGATAAAGCTTTATATTGGACAATGTGCCTTCATTAGTGATGATGTGGCAAGAGGGCAGATAATTGGTGGCATGGCAAGGCAATGGAGCTTCTATTTCAACCTATTTCCTGAACGTAGCTGATACTTTCTTAATATTAGAAGGCTCCAGAACAATGCTTCCTGGCAGCTTCATTCATTATGCATAGATGTGGCACACTGTGGACATTAAATAAATGATAATGTTGATAGCAATATAATTAAAAGATTACTACCTACAAGACTTGGGAGAGAGGAAGAAAATGTAAATACCAGGCCAGGTTTATTAAACATCTGACCTTGTTTACCATGATGCTAGCTGTCTTTCTAAATATGTAGAATGCATGCATTAACACATTGACAAAAAAAAAGATGC